GAGGCTAGGAAGAACAACTGGAGACGCTGGAGCTCGGGGACTGGTCCATGGATAGCGTGTCGCGCCGAAGCGTGGTGAGCCAGAACCGGCGGAGTGGCGCGCGATCCAAAGCTGGCCGACTGTGAGGCCCAGCAGCAGAAAAAGGCAAGCAAAGGGGCAGTGTGGGCCCCCGTGGGCAACTCAACCAAGCTCTCGCCACCGCTCGGACGTCCACTCCCCGCGCACGTTTCGAGTTCGTGCGTGCCGTGTGCTGCCAGATGATACAGGGTGCTCCTCGATGGCCCTCGCCGAAAACAAATGCACACGTCCAAGCGATGCCCAGACCTCCCATGGAAAGCCTACGCTGGGCGAGCCAGGCGCAAGCCGTTCCTCGTCACCCTCCGCCCTGGTCCTGCAGGGGGGGAGGGAGGGAGGGAGGGAGGGAGGCGGAGAGGGAGCAGGGAGGAAGAGGAGTGAGGACATTTGAAGGTGGGGGGGAGGAGCGCGGGACCTGAGCCCCTGTCCCTCCGCATCCTCGCCCGCCCTCTCTTCTCCTCCCGCGCTCCTCCTCTGACGCCCTCCGCTCCCCCCCCGGCCTCCGTGCCCTCGAGCCCTGCCTCCCGTTCCTCTGCATCCTCCGCTCCGCCCTCTCCCCCCTCCTCCGTCCCCCCCTGCCCCCGCCCTCCCGCCCTCTCTCCTCGGACATTGCTCAACGTGGCGCCAGGTCCTCCCGCTCCTCCAGCTCATGCTGCTCCTGGCCATCCTCCTCCCTGCTCCTTCCGCATCCTCGTCCTCACCCTCCTCCTCACGGTCCGGCTCCTCCGCCACTTCCCCTCCTTCTCCTCCTTCTCTTCCTCCAGCGTCCACAGCCCGCCTCTCTGATTGCGAGCCACACTATGGGGTCGTTTGGGGGGATGCAGGTCCGCCAGGGCACCCGTTGGCGGACAGTGAGAAACAGCGCAATGGGAAGGGATGCGTCGAGAGGGGTAAGATGTCTGACGTGGCATGTGCGACTATCTTAGTGTGAATGCTACTCTCCTCTCGCCCTGGGCTATCTCAGAGCGCGGCCCCTTTTCTCCCACACACTGCTTATTACGTGCCGGATTTGTAAGCTGATGTGTCATATGGGTCTTCGCTCGTTTGCTTTTGCTGTCAGAAAGTGTACTCAGGTACCCCCGCTGCACCGTTGCCCTCATTTCAGGATCGGCACTTTGGCCCCATCGTCCAGAAAGGCGCTCTCGCCCCAGCGCGGGCCGAACTTCTGGATGCGAGTCCTGGCTCGTCGTTGACGCCCCCCTGCCTCTCCCTCTTCCGCCTTCCCCTGGTCCTCCTGCTCCTCCCGCTGCTCCTGTATCATTACCCGATGGCGGAAATCCTGCTCATCCGCCACCTCGTCTTCCTCCTCCCATTCCTCACGTGTGCACAGCTCCCCTTTATGACAGCACATGCCTCCATCGGATCATCTTGGTGGTTCCACGCCCACTATGACACCCGTCGGATAGAGTTAGGTCGGGCGTGTCTGGACAAAACATTCAAACTATTGTGCTTTTCGAAACAAAAACTCCAACATAAGAAAAACATGATCCAAACATCGTCCTCCGACTACTTTTACTATTTTTGAAGATTCCCCCTGTAGAGGAACGGGCCCGAATTAAGAATAGAGAAAACTCAGCGCAATGGCAACGAATGGGTGGGAGGGATAGGACAGCAGACAGGGCGCGGGCACACCCAGCTTGACCTCCGCCTCCGTTCTCTCCCCCCTCCCACGTCCCTCCTCCACCCCCCCCCCTCCTCGCACAATTAAGCAAATTCCATTCAATGAAGCGTTTAAGAGGTACACTATAAACCAACCCCCCTCAGCCATTTCTCTACACTGTCTTACCTTGTCCCAGACAGGCATGCCGTTGTCGCTCTGTTTGGCGAATGCTGTACTCCCCTCCCTCCTCACCTGAGGTTGTCCGGAAAATCTCGCGGCCCCCTCCGCGTGCTCTTTCTTACGCGCAAGATTTCAAACGTTGACTTGCGTACGGCTTTTTACATACGGGTTGATTTCGGTGTTTCAAGATGGTGATCCTACTGCAGCGTGGGCCTCATTTTCGGATCGGCGCGTTGCTCCCGTCGTCCAAAATGGCGCTCTCGCCCCAGCGCGGGTCACTTGTCTGGATCCGAGTTTTACTTCACCGTGCCCCCCCACCCCACGACACCATTTCCCCCCCCCATCATTTCCTCTCCTCCGCCTTACCTGGTCCTGTTGCGCCTCCCGCTCATTCCACTCCAAGTCCTGCTGCTGCTGTTCGTCTCGCCCCATCGCGGGCCACTTTTCTGAATCCGAGTCTTTATGCATCGTTGTCCCCCCCTCATTCCCCTCCTCCACCTTCCCCTGGTCCTCCTTTCCCTCCCGATCCTTCCGCTTTGGCTCCTGCTGCTATTGTTCGTCCTCATCAGTTTCCTCCCGCTCATCCTCCTGCTCACCCGCCACCTCCTCACTCTCCCTGTGCACGCAGCTCCCCTCTGCCCGATTACGCATAATTACGAGGTGGTCTTGCTGTGCGAGTCGCAGGTCGGCTATGACACGCGTCCGCGCATGGGGAAAAATCAGCGCCATTGGAAGGGATGGGAGGATGGAATGGGATGTCAGATGAGGCGCGAACTCACCTAGCTTGCAAGCAGCTTGACCTCCCCCTCTCTTCCCCTCCCCCCTTGGAGGCGGCGAGGGAGTCTGAGCTGGTCGGGCCCCGAAGGAAAAATGTGCCAACATCGGTCCCCTCAAAATCCGCTCAACATCGGTCCCCAGACCCCTCAACCCGCCCGGGGTCCATCTGGTACAGCTCTTTACCCCGGATCCATTTTTGACCGTCCTGGAGCCCAAAGACGGCACCCCGAGCAAGAAAAAAAGTTAAACACGGTGTCGAACCTCGAATCTCGGAAGTCGTCCCTCTTCCTGCTCGCCGGAACCTGTGCTGGGCCACCTCAGATCGGGGACGCCCTGAACTGGGTCAATGCAAAACCAGGTCAGTCGGGCCTTGCAGGATCCTGCAAGCTCCTGTGAGATCCTGCAGGGTACTGTGCCCCAGCCTGGGTCAATGCAACCCTGGCTTTGCAGGATCCTGCAAGATCCATCGCTCTGGCAGACCCCTCTTTTGCATTTACCCCCGTCTGAAGGCTCCCGACCAGACTTTGGTCGGGCCTGTCCCCCTCTACATGGGGATTCTGGGCGAACAGTTTTTCAGTACTCAAAAGATACTCCCCAAATACTCAAAAATAGTCAGAAAATAGTCCCCTGACAGTTTCTGGACTATTTTTGAATATCCCTCCTGTAGATGGACAGGCCCGCCTTGAGACCAAACCCCCCAGCCGACTCCGGCGGACGACACGACGCCGGTGAGGACCGACGGTGGCCAGAGGCGGCAGGACGCGCCGAGCGCCGCCCGAGAGAGGAGGCCGTCGCTCGCGGCAGGGGGGGGGCCTCGGCTGGGGGGGCCTTCGCAGAGGAGGGGGGCCCTGACCTTCCAGAGTGTTAGAAAAGACCCCCCATACCTATAGACCTATCTGGACTGCTTAAGCCTCGACAGAAATTAAGATGTCGAGGTCCCGGTGTTATTTTTGGGCCTTCCTGGAAGGTCAGGGGGTAGGTGGCGACATCCGAGCCCTACTCCAAATCCCTTAATAATCGTGCCCCGGCTCCGTTTTTTTAAGCGCCTTTTTTGTAACGTGGGGGGTCCGGTTTATCAGGGCGCTTTCTTTCGGTTGGAGCGTAGGGGGTCTGGAATATTAAGGCGCCCCGTCGAAGAGGGGGGGGTCCGGAACATTAGGTCACATTCGGAGAGGGGTCCGGTTTTTTAGGGGGGGGTCGATTGATAAGGGATTTGGAGTACCCCCACCAACCATCGATTCTCCTGAATCGACTGGGGGCGGGGGTTAGGGCTCGGATGTCGCCACGTCGCCACGTGTTCGGCGAAGTCTGGACCCCACCCCCGCCGCCCCTCGGATTGCCTGCATCGTTGATCGGCAAGAGTCTGGTTCGGATTCTGCCGCCGAGGGTGGGGGCCTGGCACAAATAGAACCAAGATCTCCAGATCGTCTTCGACGTCGTCGTCGTCATCGTCGTCCTCCTCCTCCTCGTCCTCCTCCTCCTCCTCCTCCTCCACCCACCCCTCCTCCTCGAGGTTCGCGATGTTGGGGGCGTTCCCGTCGGTTCCTGAAGTTCTTTCAGCCCAAGGGTGCTCTCCTGCGGCTGCGCCTGGCCAAGAGCGTTCCGGGGTGGCCAAAATCGCCCCGTCCCGCCACCAAAGGCCCGAGGTGTGGCACGAACGCTACCGGGCTGAAGCAAAAATAACAACAAACTGAGGCCTGCCTGGGCCCTCGCCAGGCCACGGGGCCGTCAAAAGCGGCTCGGGGTGAAAAACTTGCCGTGGGCAAAGGGTCAAAAGACAGCCAGGGACCCCGCATTGTTAACAAAACGACGTCCGATCTGCGGGGATAGGTGCTGGAGAAGGGTCCCAGAATCCCAGACCTTTCATCCTGAGCTGGTTTCTGACACTTGCGTCTGGCTTGAGAGCCCTAGCTTATAAGCGGCTACTAAAGGGGGTTAGCATGTGGGCGAAGCGGGATCCGCCCACGTAG